CCCCAAAACCCCAAAACCCCAAAACCCCTCATTACTGAATTTATGAGAAATAAAATTAATGTTTTTGATGAAATTAATTTGATAATTATTTAAAGATCATTTAAACTTGTTGTTCTTTTCAAATTGTTCCATTGCCTGCAACATCTTTTTCCTTCTTTGAGCTAGTTCATCTATTTTCTTTTCGAGTTACTAATCTTTTGCAAGATTCTCAATCTGCTAAAACATATAAAGCTTATCACTGAACTCAGCTTTGAAAAGTTTTTTCTCTCCAATTTTGTTACTTCTGACTTCAATCAATTGATTCATAAAAGAATTATCAATAGGAGCATCTTTATTTTAGCCTGTCTAAGTTAAGAGCATTTGTCTCGCAGCCATTTATTTAGATTAAGACCCTTGAGTTGTTGAACCATCAACTTTAAGTTCCGGCTATCTCGCCTAAAACTTATCAAATAATGCTACAAAAGAATCTTGCTTTTACAGATCTTCTCTTTGCTAGGAATTTGAATACATATTGCTCAATCCCTTCTTAAGATTTAACTAAGCTTTTAAATAATTATCTTTAGACTAAATTTTCTGTTTTTGAAGCGATTTATCTCTAATTTTTTTCAGCATATCTGTTTTATATTAAGAATTTTTACCAGTAGGGATTTCAGTTCCCTTTAACTATTTTGACTATATTTTATTGTTATCAACATAGTCATTGCTGTAAGGTTGAAGCTAATCTAGTTCGTTCTCTTTAATTCTTTCTAACTCTGTATTATTCATTTCCTGCTAGCTTTGTCTTCTCTAAAGGAACTATTGTTTGATAGGTAATTGAGATTTGTTGTGCCTGAACTTATTTTAGCTAGAAATACCACATTTTTCAACAAATTAAACTCTTTATGAGGTGTCTGGTCTAACCACGCTCTAATAAACTTTGAATTTAGATCTCTTAGAAATCTAAACTAAATTAGCCTCATACATTTAATGCTATCTTATATCTCCAACATCAAACCAGTAATTTTTAGGATCTCCGAATTTAAACAATAAATCTCCGTCCATTAATGGATCTGATGTGTCAATTAAAATTGGTTTGCTAGATCCATCATTATCTGTTCCAATATTGGTCTAACTAACCAAAGTCATATTTTTATTTCTAATACTCTAAGAGGCAACAGCATCTTTGTCAGTATTAATTATCCTAGAAAATGTTAAATATATTAATTTACGATTAAGATTGCTAGTTCAAAATTTGAGTATCAAACATATTTTTTGAAGAGGTAAGTTACAAAAATGTTTTCCTGAGCTTAGGGTTTTATTTAGGAGGATTTTTCATAAGCTCTCTCTGCTCAGTTTTTGTCTAGTAGATTTTATCAAAATCTGAAGTTATATGAGATTTGAAATCAGAGATCGCCGGGTACCAAAGCTAGGATTGTGGGTGATTCTTTGATTCCTCAATTGCCTCTGATCTCATAGTATTAAGTTTAATTTTTGCCTGGCCCATTTTAGTCTGATGATGGCTTTAGGACTATTGATAAATGGGATCATTCCCATTTTCTTACTATAACTGATCTTGTATATCTATGCTCTATCTTAAACTGTTCTAATGGCTTTGCATCTTTTGCTTAAGTTAATATGCTTTTTAGGCCTTTTTTAAATTTTCTAGTCTTTTGAATGGATTTTCTTGCATGCTTTTATCTATTAGTACATCTTTGATGTTTCTTTCATGTCTTGATACCTCATAGGGCCGTTTTGGAGATGAATTAGCATAGAATACTCTGAATTCTTAATCGAAGCTTTCCATTGCTGCCTAAGATCTTTTTCTATTTTAAAGTCTAACTTGATCTCCTTACATTATATCCTTAACTGCTTGATTATATTCATTATCTTATTCTTAATTAAAGCCAATACTTGTGCTCTACATCTAGGGTTAATTAGTAAATGTCATTCCAAAAGGATCCTTTGCTTGACTTAAAGCTCTTTGTTAAATCTTCTAATTCTGAAATATAGCATAATCCAAGTTACCATCTCTAAGTTTATCTTACGCTCGAGAAAGTAAATTCTTGGGAAAGACTCTATCATCTTTGTTGTATAAGATGCTTCTCTTTGAATTTTAGATCGATGTAAAATTTGACATTTTTTCAATATAATTTTATTTGTTTTTTTAGCTACTGATCTTACGAATTTCTGATTTCGGGGTTTTGGGGTTTTGGGGTTTTGGGG